AATGCTGCAGGGAGCAAAGCCACTCCGCGTCTCCCTGGTCCGCTGGGGGGAACCCCCAGCGGACCAGGGAGACGCGGAGCGTACTTTCTCGCTGCGGCATTGCTCTGCCTCTCCCTGGTCTCCTGGGGGAGGTTTTTCCAAAGGCAGCATTGGCAAGCCGCCGCTTTTTTTCCTTTTCATTTTCTTTTTTTTTTTTTTTTTTTAAACCGGACAAAGAGCGCAAATACCAGGCTGACTGGTAAAATACTGGACACCTGGCAACCCTACCTACTGTAGTTTTTCAATTACTGAAATATGGTATGAAAGCTGGCCTTGCCTCTAGAGCTCTTCAGAGAGTTAGTCATTCACCTTTGGATTTGGAGAGTTCCAGACCTGGTGCATGCCAGCATGTGCACAATGGGGAAGCAGGTGCAACGGCTTATGCTTGAGTCAACCATAAACGATGTGGGGGAGGAGGAGAAAAAGGTCTGTGCATGCCAGAGGTGTGGTTTCAGGGTGTAAGATAAGACATTTGGCCAGAGAATGAGCAGGAAAGCCAGATGGGAAGAAAATGAGGTGCTCAAGAAAGGAAGAAAACACCTGGGTGAAACTACTTCAAGTGATAAAGGTGATCTGTGTCTGAAATTTAGTCATCCTACTAGTGAGTGAGTTGAACCATAAAGTGATGTTAACCTGTTTGCTGAAATGTCTTATCTAAGGAATAACAAGTCACCCTAATAATTGAAGTGTCATATTAACATATTACGTCCTGTTTTGGCTTTGATTTTTTTTTTCTTTTGAGGCCATTTTATTCCAAAAAGACCGGTGTTTCTAATGCCATGGTATCTAGTGAAGTGCAGTGTTGCATAAGAAATTATGTAGACTCAATTTGAAAAAGTGTCAGCCATTTTGGAGTGATTCTCATGAGGTATTATAGACAATGTGTCAGCATAAAACTTCTGAAAAATTCAGGTATGATCCTCCACATACTTTTTGTGGGGAAGTTCATAGCCAAGTATCAGTTGCTTTCTGTAGCCAGGAAAGGAAGCATTTAAACTTAAATTCCACTTTAATCAGGATGGTGCTGATACATGCAGAGCAGGTCTGGAACACTCCAGATCCAAGAGGGTGAATGACTAAGTCTCTGAAGAGCTCCAGAGACAAGGTCAGCTTTTTCATACCATGCTACTGTAATTGTTCAACTACATATGATTTGCTTGAATTGTTCAGAGTTTAAGCATGAGCTGAATAGGGATGCTGGGCTCAAGCAGGGCCTGTAGTTGCATTTAAACAAGCTGTGGCATAGTACCTACAATGCTCAGTTGTCTATGGAAAAATATTTTTAATAGCCAATAACAGTTGAAGGAGCCGTCATACTTTTTTATGTAAAGAGACTGTTTTGAAAAGTTTTTCTCTCCACACAACATATTTTCTTTTGTGCAGTTTTATTTTAAAATTCTGAAAATAGTGTGGCTACTTTCCCAAGAGTCACTTTATTTATGTTCTCTTCTTTTTTCAGTGTTCCTAACAGAGAACAAAGCCAACTCTGTGTTAAAAAGATATCCAAGAGCCAATGGAGTTTTGGAAGAGCTAAAGCAAGGGAGCATAGAACGTGAGTGTGTAGAAGAAAAGTGTACCTATGAGGAAGCAAGAGAAGCTTTTGAAAACGATGAAAAGACAGTAAGTTAAAAAAAAACATTGCACTAGTTAATACAAGCTTAAGTGTGTGCGCTTTCTAGCCTCTTAACTTTCCTACATTCCACTAGATTTCTTAGCTTATTCATTTTTACTAAATGCAGCAGCGAAAGTAATTTAAAATTTCTTCTTGCTGGTCCTTGCCAGCTCTTTAAACAGTTTCCTGAAGGCTTTTGCTGCACCCACTTACTTTTACTCTGACTAAATGTATTGTGATTAAACTAGTAAGCTACTCCACTTTGCGATAGTCAGCATCTTACTATGAAAGAGAGGAGTGTACTGCATGCCACAGACATCTTATTCAAATCATGCATTTAAAGCCATGATAGAGAGCAGCTAAAATGCAGACTACCTAGTAAAGACAATTGTATTATTCCTAAAACTAGCAGAAATGAAGTACCTTTCCTGAAGCTGCAGCTGCACATCAGCAGAGTAGCTGTCACTTACAAAGCAGTTGGCACAAAAACTTTATTTAAACTGCCTACAACAAGTAAAACAATGTGAGCAGTCTTGGACCATGATACATTGGTTACTCTGAAGTACAGGCAGTCCCCGAGTTACGCGGATCCGACTTATGTCGGATCTGCACTTACGAACAGGGCTTTCTCGCCCCGGAGCTCGCAGGCAGCGGGACCACCACCTCGACCTCCGGGGCGAGAAAAGCTGCTCCGGGTGCCCCTGGTCTGCTGGGGACCGTCTCC